ATTAAAGCTGCTTGTCTCCATTAAGACAAAAATACAAAAATAACAATTATATAAAATGAAGTATAGCAATCATTCCTATATAATATATATCAAAATACTTTTTTTTATAGTTTTATAGTATAAATATTTCAGATCTAGTAAGCTGCTAAAAGTATAACTTCATATCAAATAAATTGCCAAAAGATCTGTTTTAACTAACATGTAGGGGTGGTCCCTATACGTTTCCTTAGAAAATATTTCGGTATATGAAACAATGAAAATCACGTGCAGATATATAACATGCTTGTGTTAATGTCCTGTAATAAATGGTTGCTGTACATACGTAATTTGTGTACCAAATATTTCTAAACCTGTAATATATTTTATTGCATCATGACTTAAAGTAAATCAACCCCTGTTCGATAGTTCATTTCATAGGTTAGAGAAAAAAATTCTTACTTCGTTCATTAATATTGTACTGTGTTAAATGAATATATATCACTTTTTCATATTCATGTTCACATTCTATTAAAAATCGGTGGAAATAGAACATATGTTGAAAAGCAAAGATCGTCAGGTATCTGGAACACCTAATTATAAAATACGTAATAATTTCTTTACAATAATAAATTGTCTGTACAATGCACATTAAAAAGAGTTTCTTAAAAAGAAAAAAAGAAAAAAAAGATGGGCCATGAAGAGAGCGCCTCCCCGTGGTGTGGCCTGGATGCACTGAACAGATATCAGACGCGATATCAGTTGCAACTGAGCCCTCTCATCAATTCAGTCGGGTTTTCTTTAGTTTCAAAAACAGACATTATCTTAAATAATCACTATATGTGTATTATACATGTATTTTATATACATAATTTAAACGTCACAGCTGATTTCGGTAATGCTAAACACATAACGGGTTGTTTAGAACAAAGGGAAGTAACTCAATAATTACATTTCTGTTAATAACATCATTAAAATAAACTATTTTCAATTTCACTAATTTTCATCAAATAATGAAGAAATAATAGCAATATTTTGACTAGGTTGGTTTTACGAGTTGATTTCGGTAATGAAAAGTTGATTTCGGTAACTTTACCGAAATCAAGTTGATTTCGGTATCGTAACGTACCCCTAAATTAAAGAAGAATCACTACACAAAATATTTTCCTAAACTTTCTTAAAAAGAAAGGGTTAAATAAACAACTGGAAGAGACTCCTTGGGAACTATTAGTTAAGGCAATATTGTGCTGTTTCTTTATTATGAGAAAATAATAGCAGGTATATATCATTTTTTATCATCTAATTTTAATTGAATAAATTCCATTGAAGGTTGGGAGAAAGATAAATAGTTTTCCCATAACTACATTCAACAGAATTAATGTTCTTTAATGTTAGGTTGTATGGATGATGGCAAGATTGTAGCTATTTCATTTTACTTAATTTGTAAATATGTAAACACATGCATGTTTGAGTTATACAATATTCGCCGGTCTACTCCCAGTTTTACCCGAAAGCAGCACTCACACATCATCTAAATCATTATCTATATATTTATCGTTATTATTATAATTATTATTATTATAATTATTATTATTATTATAGAAACGGCACAAGCAAGTCTTTGTTAACATATCTGGCCCGCCTAGCACCGTCGAAAGCAATGTGGCAAAATGGATAAATACAGAATCCCTAAAGAAAGCCCAACACGACAAAATTGAAAATGTTGCAAGCTCGGTTTGATTGAGCCTTTTCATGGACGGTACTGGAAAATGCAAGTTACCGTCCACGCCCCCTCGCACCGGCTTAAGCAGAATTCAACATTTAAACATGATATAGTAAAAAAATTGAATTTTGAAAACAATGGGCGGAACTAAATAAAATGGAATTTTGAAAGGGGATCAGAGGTTATGAAGCCTGCATATCACAGATAAGACGTCAAAAGACAAAGTCTTTGTTAACATATCTTACCCTTCTAGCACAGTCTAAAGCAGCATATTCAGTCTTTGTTAACATATCTCACTTAAATAAATTGTTAACATAACCCCCCCCCCCCCCAAAAAAAAAAAAAAAAAAAAAATGAAAACATAGTGTCAAAACTTGAACACACATAACGGCTTAAGCATTTACTAACATAGTTGCATAAGCATATATTCATGATTTGTCATTAGGTCAGAATGCCTGATATTCTCTGCCTTAATTCTAGACACAAAAGATTTTAAGTTCCGGAAAAGTGATGGAACTATATCTTTTTCTAATGCATTGGTGTTATTTTATTCATGTACATTCAATACAATGTAAGGTTGGAAAAAATTTTGAATAAATTGTGCAATTTACATCTTGTTTGTCTTCTCTTTGCTGCTTAAACTACATGTACTTTTAAACGAGATTATCTCTTGTATGACACCAGTACATTTAAAGTAGAATCACCAATTTATTTGAAATTGATACCAAAACAGACCAAATTATCTTTATGTTAAGATTTGTTTATTTGTTTTAACATAGTATTGTGTCTCGTTGTAAAGCGTTTTATCAAGGTTTATCAGATACAACCACTATTTTTAATCAATTAATGATAACGACTGAGGTATGAAGCTCAAGTATGATAAATACATTTGAAGATGAAGATAAAGGTAACATATGAACAAGATGTCGGATGAATACATGATGTAAAATTTTCATTTTTCACAGTATGCAACTACCACGTAAACAAAGCAATGTATGCATTAATTTTATTTAATATCCCAACAGCCATTGTCATTGCAAGTATTATACATAGGAAAAGAACACAACCTGTTGATTGCCGAATTCAAAGAAGCAAATAGTTATTATATACACAAGCCGATCTGACATCATGTGAAGGACTTTTACTTTGCAATCGATTCGTATCAAGTACCTGTCCTTTTCTTTTAGGAGGAATTGATGGGGAAATATATAAGGGAGTATTTCATGATTATTAAAGAACAAAAACATATTCTATGCACCATGATTCCAGACATAAAAATTGACATATTACTTAACCCTTTGACATTTTTTGCAAACAAAAGGTCCCCAATGATTGTACAACTGCCTAAAATTGATCGTCACACGAAACCAGTAGTTCTGAATAAAGTGTCGGACGAACGCATAAATCGGGGCTTATCATTTCTGAATAAGTGATTGTCGGATTCTTAGAGCCGGTATTGTCCTCCCTTGTATATATTGCGTCACAAAAAAGCTAAAACCACATGCACGTGACTGTTCCCAGATTTATTGTCGTCGTCGAGGACTTGTTAAGCTTAATAAAAATATTTCTATCAGGGCTTTGTTGTTTTGAATCTGTGTTTTCTGCTTTTGTCACTGACCAAATTAAACTGGAATGTTACAAAAACTAGACCTAATATGACGTTAGAACTTTGCATAAAGTTGAAGTAACTTTACATGTTTGAAATGTTGCGACAGAGAATCACACAAAGGATAAGTAAAGAACGTTTTAGACGCATATGAATTGAATATTATTTTGGCATTATATTTAAACCTGTAATTGAAAACAAAATAAAATTAAAGTGATGTGTCAATATTTAGAAATAATAAATGTGTAAGCGTATGAGTATTGAAAACCCCTTTGAATAGGATAAAATTTCGATCCCACCATTTTGAATGGATATGAGATAATGTTTTAATGAAAACCAGATAAAGCTTAAATATAAACAAGATAAACGAGTTGAATTGATAAAAGTTTTCAAATGTTGTAGTTTATATATTTCATACAATAATAATTGGCGAGGATCGCCAGAATATAAGCAACTTATTTTGCCTCGCAAGACATAAAGGAAGATATAATAGTTATAGAATAAAGATATCAAGCTTGTTGGCAGTCTAAGTTGGCAGCTAAATAATGCTAATGTTTTACAAAAAAAAATCAGGTATTGGCAATCCATAAATCATTAATATTAATTTAGGATGATTTCGTTTGAAAAGAAACAAAGTTGTTTGAACATTAACCACTGCAGTGAAATCAGTTTAAATCATTATAATGACATCATGACATCATGATCAGATAAAGTAGGCTAAGTATGAATCAACATAGCAACCTAAGCATAAACATAAAGTCTGGAGCATGAGCTTACGCAGGAATCAACATAATGGCTAAAGCTAAAACCTATAAAACGGTTTAAGCATTTATTGGCATTAATATATACGAATTCATGGTTTGTCATAATCAGATCAGCATGCCTGTAATTGTGTGTATCAATGCCTATTTTTTTGAGTATGAAATCATGTATATTCAATAATATGAATATAAAAGTAAATGATTTAAATAATTGGTATATACATGATTGGGATTTTTTTTTATTTTTCAAACTGCTACTCAAGCATAAAAAGACTATGCATAACTAATATCCGGTAATATTCGGACAGACTGTGTAATTGAAAGTAGTATACGTAGGAAAATCAACATGTAGCACTGCCGAACATAAAATATAGAATGAATAAAAATAATAATGTCATCATGTGAAGGGCTTTTTCTTTCAATCTATTTATATCAAGTATCTGTCCCTAAATTTAAGGAGAAATTTATGGGAAAATTTACAAGGGAGTATTTTATGATAAGCCAGGAACAGCAACAGTTTCAATTTCCCTTAAAGTAAACCTTTACATTAAGTTTAACATCTTTAAACTTACGTCTTTCAGGAACAACCTTAATGTTCGTATATGATGTATAGGATTGAGTTCCGCTCTACCGAGGTTTTACTGTAATTAATTTCTCTACGTTTTGATATAATAATTATTCAATTACAACCTGCATGTTAAATGTATATAAACATGTTATTGTAGCATCGTTAAATCGTGTAGAAAATAATAAAAATCCTTTTTTTTTTCATTTCTGCATAGGTATAAAAACGCCCACTTTGGACCATTCCTACTTTCGTTTTCGACGAACACATTGTACGGCCATTTCAATATGATGTCAGTCAAGATAGGTAATGGTTTAAGAAGCTACATAATTTTCTAAAAATTATCATCCAATAAAAATCAATATTTACCTTAATTACTCATATATTTTCCGTAGAGTTTATATCATTGAATCCAGGACTTAACTCCGCCATTGCGGTATGGACACACAATTTTAAAGCGCATGCGTCATTATCACAAGATGAAATTGTTATCAATCACGTGAATACTGAATTGTTAGACGAAAATCAGGTCATGGCAAAAATTTACTAAATATTTGTTTACCTTATGATAAATTGATCTTACATAGACATGTCCTATTGACAAGATCGTCTTCCGTGCTAATGGTTATCCAGTACATATTGTTAAAATACTCGAGTTGACAATATCAGTAAAGGAATCATTCCCGATGGAAACGGAATTTAAAATATCAGTTCAATGTGGCATTCGAGATGAATTTTGAACAATAGTAGATCTAAAATAATATTAGTAATATCAATATTTCTCTGCGCTGACGACTTGCCAGATGAATCAATAAATTCCTTAAAGCAATATTGACTAACAAAAAAAAAGAGAAATATCCCGCTACATCCGTTACGCCTAACATAATATTAGGACAAATCAACATTAGATATCGGCGTTCATGGACCAAAGACCCCTTTCCCCTGACAACAGTTGGCGATACAGGGACAGAACAGACCAAATGGTGGAGAAAGGAGATAATTTAATTTTAATAATAGTGTGTTCATACTGAAAAAGAATAATTTTCCAATGACGCGACTATAGTGTAACGCTTACATTCCTCTGTATAGCGGAAATGATACCATGACACAATATTTGCATAAATGTATAATACTGTTTTTACGAACTCGCAAATACAGCACAGATATGTGCTTAATAATTTTATTCGAATCTTTGTCTTAATAAGAAGCAACAACTAACCGCAACATCGTTTTATCAGTATTTTTATTGCAGTTTATATTTGTTTATAGCCTTTAATGTTCTTCCTATTGGTGATGTTATATTACTGTCGTTGAATCTATCAAAATTAGAAAAGTAAAAGCCCCATATTTTTTCTGGTATTTTTTATAGTTTGCCTCGATAGATATGTTTCAGCCACATACAGTAATATAGCTATATTTTTTTGCAATTTTCGTAAAACTCTAAGTAAAAATATCCAAACGATGCTTATTTTGATATTGGTTCAATTTGAATACATGTTTTTCTGGTATCTCTTTCTAGTTTTGGCTTAAATCGTCTATTTTGAGTCTCTCATTTTAACCCCTTGTACATTATTTTTCTGTCAACCATGGCCTTTATGCCTACGTCCATAACTAGTTAACAAATTTGAATTAAAATAGAGTAAATTTTACTCAATATGTACGTACATGTCAACCAGCACAATTTACGTTAAATCATTATTTCTATTTCCCGATTAAATGTTTGGAATGTTGCTACGTAAGATCATACACAGGATATAAAAATAACTATTTTTACAAATCTTAAAAATAATCAAATATTGATTCGGCATTAAATTTTAACGTTAACGTTCTAATAAACAATACAAATAACTGCCATCCGATTTGACATCAACAAAGCCCTTTTACTTTGCAATCTATTTATATCAAGTAAGTGGCATTGAGTTGAAAGAGAAATTTATAGACGAATGTATTAAGATTGTTAATAAAAAACAAGGATAAAGGGCAGTTTTAATTTTCCCCAGTTAACTTTTATAACTGTAACATTTTTCAAGAACAACCTAAATATTTGTATTTAAATGGGCTTTGCTCTTCCGGGGTTGGACCATACTTAATTTCTCTTCGTATTTTTATATGAAAATAATTTAATTTCAACATGCAAAAAATCTATAGAATTTAAAACTATGCTATTGTAGCAATGTTAACTACCTGTAGAAAATTTGAAATCAAAATACGAGCTTTTATTTTCCAATCTGTATTGTTCTACAGGCTAGAAAACGCCCACTTTGGCCCTCTCCTACTTTCGTTTTCGGTAAAACAGATTTTACGAACATTTTAATATGTTATCCATCAATATAACTTAACAAGCTACATTATAAGATAAAAGAAATCATCACATAAAATAAATAAATTATATTTACCGTAAATATCTCACATACTGTCCGTAAAATTTATAACATTAAATCCAGGACTTAACTCCGCCATTGCGATATTAAAACACAATTTGACAGCGCATGCGCTATTATCACAAGATGACTATGTTATCTATCACGTGAATAATAAATTGTAAAATGAAAATCAGGTCATGATAAAATATACTAGATAATTGTCCTCTTTTTAAATTATTGTTATGATAAAATGTTAAATTTCTTTGTTAATATATGTTATGGCTGAATGCTTAAGTAAATCAAATTATCTAATAATGTCCTGACATGGAGTTAAAACTAAAACTTATTGACTAAATCGTCTACCGTCGCACTGGAAATCAAGAGAAAAATCTGGGAAAAAAACAACAACAATGGATATGAAATTAAGAACACAAGTACATATCGAATTTCCATTGAAAAAAACAAAACAAAAAAAAAACTGTAGATTCGGATGGAATTTCAGTACATCTATAAAATAAACACTAGAACAGTGTAATATTTTTATAGCCGACCTGATACTATTACATTCTTTTGTAATTTTGTATGTGCATGATTTATAGAAGCACATTAATTTGTTAACTTCTTGTAAAATTGTAACAAAATTTAATCATCTGTACAGAATTAATTTTCTTGTTTCATAATCTTGTATATTTTGCACGTGAAAAATCGAAAATTTGTATATATTGCACGTGAAAAGTATAATATTACTCGTCAATATTATCTGTTGTATATTTTCTGTAAAATATATTTAGATCTCTTACCTATAAACACATTAGTTTTTGCTATTTATTTTCAAAGGGGACTACAAAGATGTCAGTGAAAGAATGGTGCTAAGTGTAAAATCTTAACATGGTATCTTGATAACCTTTATCTCGAACGTTTCGTGCCAGGTAATTCATTTGGTTTAGAGGAGGTAATCTATAACTGAATGTCTCCCTTGTCTAATTGTAAAATGTCTAGACTACACAGGGTATTTAACTAGAATGTTTGCGTTACTAATACCTCTTATAATGTGCTTAAAATGTATTTATAACTCTAAAATGCATTTTGAACCCTGCAGAACCGTTCGGACATATCAAATCGATTTTCACGTGCACTTTAAATGCATCCTCGTACTTCTGCATATGTGACTGCACGAAAAATTGTGCAATAACTCTCTATAATTTATAGACATATGGAATCTTAAGTCGAGAACAGTGCTGTCAAGATTGATTTAAGGATTTGTTACAAGTTATTAACAATTTTCAAAAATGTATAGATATAAGCGGCGAACATATCGGAAGCCACGCTTTTTAAACGCTTTACAACATTTTGATGCTTTTGTATTATTTCATCTCTTTATATTCATTGCTAACAAACTTAGTTAAGATAATCAGATGCCTGTTGCTTTGCCTAACCAGGTTGTTAATATCAATACTATAAATATTTAAGGATGCTTTCTCCTCAGTGTCTTGATATCTATCTAGTTTTTAAGGACCACTGATTCCATTTATGCTTCAGAAATGCTATCATTTTTTTTTCAAAAACTGTTTTTAGAATCTTGTTACAATTTTCACAAAGAAACGTTATACAAATATGCATAAACTATTTTCTGCTAATTTTTTCTGTTGCCAATATGTATATTCCAATTTAAACAGTATTTTGTATAGAAGTCAAAATACTAATTTTTGAACATTTTGCTCCCTTTACAACATATTACTTATATGTTCAGAACTATTCTCCTCAGTGAAATAACATATTTCATGCTTAAAATCCATTATTACAAAATTATTAAACACATGTTTGACGTTCCTTAGAATTAATAAAAACGTATGCATTTCTGAGGCAAAATGACACATTAAATTTGAAGGTTAAACAAAGGACCAGTCGACGGAGATGTAGCATTCTCCGTTATCACTTATGCAAATCGTCTGCGATTTTTTAAATATTTGTTTTAATAATTCGCTTTCACTGATCTCTTGAGTGTGCCTCCTTTCTAGAATTTTATATGTTATAGAAAGTTATATTTCGTGTATCGGTTACGTACGCCCTTGAATGAGTTACTTGCTTTCAGATAATAGTTTTTAAAGATATGAGAATAAATACCATTTATTTTATGAAAAAAATGGTGAGATATAATAACAAAGGACAAATCGCATTTTCATTTATTTTTTTCCGTATTTTCACTGTAAAGGTTTGTGTTCTTTTTGTTATATATATCTTGCATTTATAAAAAACTTGAATATCCCATAAATTTTTAACGACTTAACATTTGGCATTGTGACACATGTCAGTTATCATTTTTTTAAAAACAAAACACGTTTAAACTATTTTTTGTATGAATTAGAAGCAAAAGCATAAATTCTAACATATTTCTGTTTTGTCTTGACATTATCATAATGTATTACAAATCTACATTTACCTTTTAAAAAGTGACATTGACCTTTATATTGACCTTTACAGCTTTAGACCAAATTAGAAGAAACCTAAACTGTCAGTCAGTCTTGAGTAAAATCAACCACAAGTAAATTTAATCACACAAAAATGTAAGTGCAACATGTTATTCTTTCGTCATTATTCCGTCCATATCTCGATGAATGACTTATTATTTGTTATTGTTTCCTAAACATTTCCTGCAAAAGAAATCCAACGTAAAAGTAATTAGGGAGGAAATATCTGAAAAAAAAATATTTATTCATCCTGCGTCTTCTTCGACAATTTCGGACCAAAATGACTATCATCTAAAGCAGCCATTAATATAAAAAAATCAGATAGTTTCAAACAAGCAGATTACAGCTTTCACAATAGTATACGATGACAAAGCTGTTTTGACATTCAATTCTGCTCTACGTGACGCAAGCAAATTAAACTGAATAATTGGAATCTGATTTGCAACGATTGACTATTTACACAAGGAGAAGCATTCAACTGACCAAATGATAATCCAAATTTTAACATAACTTGTGACTACTGTAACACGTTTAGTGGTGTTTACTCGTGTTTCATATACACTAGCTGTGTAGTGTCTAGGTGTATCAAAATGAACAACATTGGCTGAAGAAGATGGTCTACCGCCGTCAACCTCATCTTGCCTCGATGGTATGTATTGACCTAAATCTGACTGGCGTAAAATTGCAAGTCTTTTTCTGACACGTAGTTCATCTGTTCGATCAACTGTGTCTATAGAGAGCTGACGTTTTAACTTTGTTGGAGGATCCAGGAGTTTGATAGGGTATTCTTCTAGGTTGTCATCTTCTTTGTTATTCAGATTTTTTACTGGACAAAGAAAGTCACATTAATATGTACAAACTAACAGTATTACTTGATGCGACTTGTGAAATTTAAATAAGTCTATAAAGAAATGTAAAGTGTTACTTATAATCAAAAAACATAAAATGTGAACGAGTTATTTGCGTGTAGATGTTTCATTCTTCTTCTCCATTCTTCATACCATGTAAGACATGACGAGTGAGACGGTTGAAATTAAAATAAGTTACGGTGTACACAATTTAATAATATTTGTTGTAAATAATATGATGTTCAAACAAAAATAAATGTTTACACAAAATGAATACATATACACAGTGTGATTTAACCATTTAAAAGTTTTATTGCATAAGGTATATAATTGGAATACAGGTTTTGATAAGATTTGACATAAATTGAATATGATACCTGTAGGTTGAAATGTTTTGTCGTGAATTTGCCATTGAATGACATTGATAAGATAATAATGGCAAACGTTTTATCAGGACAGGAAGTGCTTTTTCATGATACAAAACGTGTTCATTCATATACTGGAAAAAATGAATTAAGATTAAAGTTTGAGTTAAACGTGTTACCTGTTAAGAAATTTCAACAGGTACTACAGTTGATATGTTAAAATATTGAAAAATTAAAATCGCAGTTGTTGCGTATAAATTCGGGAACCATCGGCAATTTCCGTATATTTTTATAGTACAGTATATGATATGTATGAAAGTGTCGACATTTATTCAGTATGACGCACGTACAATGTTAACAAGACATTCATAATGACTGACAATGGCAAATTTATACATAGAATTTTTAATTCATAACCAATTATATATTGACTTGAAAGCAAAAAAAAGTAAAAAAAACATATGTTATTTAAAATCAAAATTTACTAAAAACATACCTTTATGAACAGTTTCTTTTGCCATGTCGTCAATACTTGGTTTAGAGGAGCACTAGAGCACAGGGGCTGTAGCTGAACACTCAGGATAATTACCGTTCCGTGCCGGTACCCTCCCGGACAGACTATCATGCAAGAGCCGGTTGAACAGAGGAAACTTAAACCAATAATAGATATTAATTCATATACTTTTCTATTTAAGGTGAAAATTATTTTGTAATTTAAAGGAAGCTATGGCCTAATGGTTATGGAGTCTTCCTCTCAAACCAGTGATCATGGGTTCGAGCCCTACTCAGGTCACGACAGTGTTTCTTCATATGGTCTCTGTGGCTGGGAGGTTAATATCACAGACTTTTAAATCACCACTATGGATTCGAATCTCGCAAATGCTTTAAGAGTTTGTCATAAGAGAAAGCTCTTCAGGTAGCTAATTAATGTGTTTAAAAACGCGTCATAGGGCAATATAAGTGTATATTACGTTTTGAATAAGCATTGAAAGGGGTTCGATTTTAAGATGACAGAGTAGAATTTTATAATGAAAGATTGGACACTCCCCATGTTATTTATTGACTTATATGCATTTGAGCTGAAATTACTTGAGAAGCCACTCTTTCTAAGACTGAAGATAATAAAATCGGAGCGTTTATTCGACAATTGCCGATTGAACTGTCAATGAAAGTGGGGAGGTGACTGAATTTCCTATAACGCGTATTGTTAACAACTCCTTTTATACAGCAACATTAATTATAAATAATGACATTAATTATAACTTACCTTTGGTTTCGAAGGCTTTCCTGGTGAAGTTGATGGAGACACCATAGATACAAGTATCCAAATAATATATACAAAAGTTTATCATCCGAATATTCGAAATATCCAAAAGAAATTTAAAGACACAAAAGATACGTCTATAACAAAGGCAATGTGTAAATCCACGTTAAGATTATTAAACTATTGCATATACACAGAGACTGTTAAATAATTGTTTATTCGGATACCCGTGTCTGAATCCATTGAAATCAACACCCGTAAGACCCTTTGTGTACTTTGATACGCTAAGCTATTGCAGTAGATTTCGATAAATCTAATTCATGATTTAATTTCACAAAAGGGCATGTGGCTCATGTGCTGTAACTTTACCCAAACGCTCATTGAAAAATGAGTTAGCCGTTGAAATAATCTTTTTTTTTTCACAAAAATGCCTGCACAAACGATTAATTCATTAACTATTTATTTTAGTAGCTTCTGCATTATTTATCCATTAGATATTCCGTATATTCAACGCCTGAATAAAACCACAGTGCAATTTTAAATAAACAGTCATTTCTACTTTATTTTCTCCCTCAAAATGAAATCATTTCATTTTCTTTTTACAGTTTGAATGTTTGCGCATATCAGAAATTTGAAATTACCGGTAAAATTTAAAATGCATGATTTGAGGTTACATTTCCGGTGTCATATTGTCTGATAAAAACTGATTTTTATTACACTTGAATCCCTTAAAGGTACTTGAGCGTTGAATTTTATCAATCGAGCTAGTGTAAGGTTATTTAAATTTGATATTGACAATGTTAACTAGCATCGCATGTAGATTTTATAATTAACGTGAATTGGTTTATAACTGGAAGGTCTGTATACCATAAATAAGTTTGTTGATACATGTCGTATTTAATATCATTAAGAAATAATATATCCCCCAAACTGTGATTTTATCGCTCAATAACATCAATGTTTGGAGGTCGGATGCCAGGAATTAGGAAATAGATATCAATTCTGAGTGCATTGTTGTAGAATAATGCACGGTTTGAGTTCAAATGCGTAGTAATATAATCACGAAGGACGATAGGCCTGAGTGATTAATTACAAAGCATTTGAACGAAAAACGTGCATTATTATACAATAATGCACGAAGAATTAATATCTATTTCCATTCTAACACGTCAAGAATAAATATAATTATTAATTTTAAGGTGGACATTATGTTTGGTGGTTAGATTTGTTTTCGCCTAGGGGTTTCCAATAGAAACGTTCTTAAAAGGCTGCTCCAGTAGGTTGAAACATCTGTCGTTAAATCTACCATGTGTACTGTAGAAACATTTTGAGAATAACGAATTTTGAAAACGTTGATACAAATTTGTTTCATTATTTTATTTCACTCTTTAATTTTTCAAGCGAAATACAAATTATTAAAAGTGAAATAATGTAAAACTTAACTCGTTTGCGACATTAAAATAGCGTACTTGATTTGATTGTTTTGCACGTGCTGTTTGGCGCTACATTGTGACGTCACGTAAACAACACTTTAAACGTCTGTACAGCGTTAACGACTGAATTAAAGATACTGGTGTTCGGATTCATTTTCTTAGATAGACCATTATCTTTCATTCTAGATAGTTTTCGCAACAAAATTCGGCAAAAAATTGTTTTTATTTATAAAATTTTTCAAACAAAATGGCGCCCTCAATGTGAAAATACATAGGGAGATAATAAGAACGGCGAGTGCATTGTTGTAGAATAATGCACGCTTCGGGCCTTCTTTGTTTATATAGAAAAAATTCCGATAGTGTTAGAATTATAGATCTATCACGAGGGCCGAGTGATATAATGATGCGCATCCGAACGACAAACAGTGATGTTATCAAGCGATAACATCACAGATTTGGATATATTATTTCGATTATAACACGACATCAACGTTACAAATAAAGGTTGCCGTACCGGGCTGATATTTATGGAACCAGGAAAATCTCGCGCATCTTTGATTTGCTTCCGTAGATTCATTGTCATACTACGCACTGTAGTAGGATCATGTTGTTCGGTGATAGTGGTTACGTCACATGTATAATGATTACGTCACATGTCTAAATATAGTACGTCAAGCAGTGATTTTATAGCAAAATAACACACACTTTCGGTTCTTCTATGTTCAAAAACGCGGGTCGTGTTAGAATAAGTGATAACAAGCTAGAAAAAAATGTGTAAAGATGTTCCAGTAAGTGTAAGATGCATGATCTGATATAATATATAACTATATAAAGAAGATAGAATCTAATAAAATGCTCAAAAACAAAATATTATTTTACTTCCTACTTAAAACTTTATCAAGATTCTTTTTTTTTTTCCATAAAATATTTTATGCTATGTTCATATTTTAATTCAAGATTTGATATAGACTAGAGCAATGTAAACATATTTATTACTTATAAAATATCGACTTTGTAGGACAAAAGTATTTCTTATAAGTGACAATAAAAATATCGACTTTGTGTAAGACAAAAGTATTTCTTATAAGTGGCGAAAAATTTCGACTTTGTAGGACAAAAGTATTTCTTATAAGTGACAATAAAAATTTCGACTTTGTAAGACAAAAGTATTTCTTATATGTGACGATAAAATATCGACTTTTAAGGACAACAGTGTTACTTATAAATTAAGATTGAAAATCAACTATGACGAAATTATGTGTATCTTATTATGAAGTTTAGATATTTGATCTACTGCTTAAAAATATGCATTGACGACTGAATAACAGGCACGAGAAAATCTTCTAACAAAAGATAAAAGATCCAGAATATCATTCAAGACGCCGAAAAGACAAGAACCGGTGCAGTGTGGATGATGGGGTGTAGTTTGTGAACATAAATTATTAATCTTACAAAAAAAACTGCGCACGTAGTTTATACATTAACGAAGAAAAAAATATGCACCCATGACTACGCATCGTTGTTACACGTTTTTTAATATACCTGACTCGGGCTGCCTTGTAAAACTGCTTTTTACAGCTTTGAAAGTCCAACAAAAGTCTGGCGAATTAACTTCAATATTGAGTAAGTTTTCGCAAGGCTACAGCGAAACTGACCTACCGGTACGTCTTATCGCATGGTTTGGAATTTTTTTTTTGTTCTTACTTACCCATTATATTCAGTACACTTTCAATGAGCATTTGAAAACTGTATTGATATATAGCAGTACAGTTTTTTCATTGAATCATATAGAAAAAAACTCAACTGCTATATAGAAGTTGAGGGTGTTTCAAATGGCACGTTATATATATCAGTGTAGTTTTTTCACCGAGGTTCCAATGGGGCAGCGGTAACGAACATGCCCAAGAAGTAAATACACAAAAGTAAGAAAGAAAATTAATGAAAATGAAATGAATTTGTTCTCATATAATTATGCAACTGCTAAAATCAAAAGGTACATCCGCTGAGTGAATTATTTCCACTTTAAAAAGCCCTTAAATCTTAAATTCGAATAACTTTCTCAGTTTACAATCCGTCTCTATCATTGGACGTTGTTTTAAGTTTTCAATATTATATATTGCTATAAGAAAGCTTACGACACCATAGGCTGGTATTTGTTCATATTATCTGGGAGTGAGAAGGTGAAAAACTGAAAGGGCACAAGAGAGAGAAATGCACGGTTTTTTTGTTGTTGTTGTTTTTTTTCTGATTAAAATGAAAATGCGATAAAACAATTAAAGTATACTACCACTACACCCCATCATCCACACTGGCCGGGGCGACATCTCGGGATGTTTCTGCAAAACAACTTGTCTCGGCCTAACGGCCTCGACATTTTTTTAGCAGAAACACCTCTTGATGTCGCCCCAGCCAGTGTTGTATCCTCGTTACTAACTCGTGTCATATACTATACTAGTAATTATTACCTATTGACAGCTTTGACGTTTTTTGAGACAGTTTTGACGTTTTTATATCTTTTTGAGATAGTTTCGGCGCTTTGACGTATCAACAGTATTACCTTTTGATTTTGTTAGATTTAAGTTGCAAATTTCATTAGAATAACTACCTTTAAATGTTCAGTTGTGTTATCAGTGTAAAATCAATTTTTAGTCCAATTTCATAATTTATAAAATCCCCTAATTCAATGCGGTATATTTACAAACGGTAGAATATTTAAGTACACTTGCTTTCGGATTAAAATTACAGTATAACGGTTTCTATGGGGAATTCTTTAAAGATTTGTTAAGTTGACGAACTATTTATTCAAGTTTAATATCCTACAAAATAAGGTAATCTATTAATCCACAAGGTTTTTTAACATCAAAATTTAAGGGAGTATTTCTTATAATGATAAACCAATATGTAGAGGTCTATATAAATACACTGAATTCCGGGGCGCCGTTAAGGTCGTTTGCCCCTCACCGCTGTTGGTTCAAATCCCGCCAGAGACTTTAGATTCTTACATCTGAGGAAGCTATCCAGCTAGCTTAAGAAACGTCGATGGTTCTACCAAGGTGCTCTTCCACCACTTAAAAGCTGTGAAGTCGCCATATAAGGTTATGATGAAACACAAAACAATTTATTGTGAAGATGTTCTTAAATTTGCGTTTGATATAAACATGATAGAGCTGAATTTTCATAACCAATTAGGTTTAGGCGGCTTTACCCCCATCCCCACCCCCTCGATTAAAATTCATATAACAACAAAGATCGATTTAATTGGAACAATTTTGATATTTTAATGCACCGGTAAATTCAAAAGAAGAATCCTTAAGATTTTCAAGCCTCTGGCAATTCTATGCTTGTAAAAGATCTCATTTCCGCTTTGCACCATTACGTTTAATGCCACTCTATCGGTTTAATGCCACCATTTCCGATTTGCACCCTTACGCTTAATGCTACTCTCTCCATTTGAGACCAACTTGCAATCGGAATATCTCGGTTATAACTATTGCACGTCTTATGTAAAGTAAAATTGTTTTATTGCTAAAAGTACTCAATGTGAACGGGTTGTCACCCCGGACGAGGGAGGGAGGCAAGGTAGCGGGAGTATCAGACCCCAGGTAACGGTCACTGCAATGACCCTCAGACGGTCAATTTGAAGGATTAAAACTCCTGCTCTGTGACCAAAACATAATCCTATCATAAGTGCGCAGAACAAAAAAAAAACATCCAAAACCTTACCGCATTCGCATAACCATTGACCCGGGATGAAGAGGTTGAAAGGACGGGGCGGGGCTATCATTGATACATGCATATATTTGGCACGTGGATTTATTTATTTATTATTATTACTTGCGAGAACAATAAACTTACTATGCATCACCGTTTACACATGAACTACCTGCCGGTATAAACAAACTATCGTGATACCACAAACAGAAACTTAATATGTTACGCCATTGTCGTCTGCCGCGTTATTGTGTATCTCCCATTATGATGAGATACCGAAATAGATTATCATTTTAATATTCTCATATCACGTGATCTGATTATTGTAACAATTTTATTTAATTCTCGTCTGATTTATTTCTATAGTAACGGAGAAAGATAGGATTTCTACCGTTACATTCCCGATGTAAAGATTTTTACGACATTCGTCCAACGTTAAATAGAAATTGAGAAATTTGAATCTCATAAAATGAGACACAGAATAAATTATTATATAGGCCTTCATTGAATAGATTAATTGAAATGCGGTGTCTTAAAGAACAGTTTAAGAATATCGAAATATCACGTATTAATGGGAACACCTGTTTGTAAAATTGTATGCT